TCTCTCTCTCTCTCTCTCTCTCTCTCTCCCTCTCTCTCTCTCTCTCCAGTCTGTCTCTCTCCGTCTCTCCAAGCTGGCACCTTTGACAAGTAGCCAAAGGCGACACGCTGCGGGTACCTGCGGGGAGGGCGGCGGAGCGGTGGGTGAGGAGGACGAGGGGTGGCGCGGAGGAGGAGGAGGAGGAGGAGGAGGAGGAGTAGGAGGAGGAGGAGGAGGAGGAGGAGGTGCAAGGAGCGTTCTCTGTGCTCTAGCGGTGCCGCTCTGTACTCGCGCTACCGCGGCGCGCTTCGCGGCACCGCGGCCGCGGCAGCACGGGCCAGTCGCCCACCCTCCGCCTCGCTGCGCCTCCTCTCCTCGCTGCGGCGGCCCTCCGACCCCATCTCCAGCTGTGTGAGAGGTGTGAGAGGGCGCTGTGGGGTGGGGCGGCGGCGGCGGTGCGGGCGCGCACTCGTCGTCAGCGAAGCAGACGGCGACGACGCCCATGGGCGAGTGGTACACGTGGCTCATGTACCCGTCCTTCCGGACGGACGAGCGCTGCCCTGGCTCCGTGGACGCCTTTGCAAACTGCCGCGAGAACATGACAAAGACTTCCTTCGCGGTACTGCGCTGGAAGAAGCCGAGGGAGGAGAGCTCGGCGGCCTGCGATAGCATGACAGGGCCGTCCTTGCCGGGCGCCTCGGTGCCAGGCTTGAACACTGCGGAGAATAGGATCTTCATGCCACAAGGTGGATCGGGCGCCGATCGAAGAGGCGTCCGAGAAAAAAAGGATTTGCCGCGCTAGCGGTTACGTGTCTATCCCCCTGAATGTCTTTCCAAATTCCTGCTCGTAGGTGTGGACCCTGTCCTCCTCCCCCAAGCCCCATCCCTCGTTAGTCGTTTTATGCATATTTGGGTTTGTCTGTTCAGTGTCGTGCAAAAAAGAATTTTTCTCAGGCCTCCGTTCGTTCAATTGGGTAGAGTCGTGTAGTTGTACATGAAAAATGAGTTATGTGAGTCCTCTGTGCTCTGACTCTGCTCTCTCTCGATGCTCGCCGAGATTCGGTCTTTGTGTGTGAGCGCGAGCGCGCGGAGCCGGACGGACCCGCGGGGAATTTGATATTTAATAAGGTCCAATATACGGTAAATAAGGTCCAATATACGTTAGCTAGCGCAAACCGTTTGAGGGCATGCATGCTGACTGAGCTGAGCACACCTGAGCACTCGCGGCCTGTCGTGGCTGTCGTGGCATGTCCCGGGATAAGGATTCAAGCAGACATTGTGTATCTACCAAGAGTGGCTTTCTGCATGGTGAGGACAGCTCGGTCAGCAGCGCGGTGAGGTAGTCCTGATTCTGCTGTTTTTCTGCTACGGTGAGGATCCTGTTGTACACGACCGCCTCGGCCACCTGCATCTGGGCTTGCCCGGCTTGCCCGCAATCTTGGGGACTGGAAAAGACGCGGAAGGGGATGCCATCGCGAGCAAAGCCAGTGGCCACGTTGGTCTCCTCGAATGATGACCCATCCTCAAAGCGCATGGCGTACCGCGCGATGTCCAGCGATGACTCAAATTCCACCCAATGCCAGTTGCCATCGTTCAACGTCTAGAAGTGGGGCTTGGGAAGAAAGGGGGGAGACAATGGGCAGGGGAGCGCGTGGGAGATGGCGGACGGTGCACACAAGGAGACGATCTTCCGTTTCCCTTCCGTTTCGTGGAACATAACGTTCAGCACGCAGAGAAGCAAGCAGTGTGTGTGTCGCTCACGCGTGCCGTCATCATCTGTCTCGCGTCCACCCATACATACCGCGCTGGTGTCCAGTCCGAGCCTGACTGTTCTTCACCTTCCTACGCCCTTGCTCCGGCTTGCAATCGTCGCCGCGCGCGGAAAGCGCGTTCCTATCCGGGGTGCGGCCTTGTGCTCCTCAGTCGTGCTCTGCCGCGGCCGCGCTTGGCCGGCCTTTGGTGAGGCTGCCCGCGGGAGTTTTCTTTTCTCGGGCTCAAAATTCTTTTCCTTGGGAAAGAAAGAAAGAAAACAGACAACCCAAGGGAGGGATGGGAGGACGGCACGCCGCCACCACACAGGGATTTTAAGGAGAGGTGTGTGGTGCGCTAGCCGTCGCCCACCCTTGTGCGTCTGCCTCTTCCTATCTCTCTTCGCAGTCTCTCTCCGATTCTCGCTGCAACCTTCATGCCACCTCGCGGTCGTCCCACTCTCGTCGTTCTCTCCCTTGTCACTTCCTCCTCTGTCGCGTCGTTCCCTTCTGCCTCGTCCTGTGACGCCGCCGCCTGCCGGTCCCTTGTTCTCGCGGCTTCTTTCGCCTTTCGGCGCAACTCCGTCCTCCTCGCGGCGTATCCTGGCCCCTCGAGTCTATCGAGCTCCCCTAGCGCGTCGGAGAGGTGTTTCGACACCGAGTGTTTTGAACGTTTCTTCGCAGAAGAAATCGTCGAGAGAAAAATTCTCTCGCCGGTGTTCACAGCGCTCTGTGAACACCGGCTACTCGGCCTTAGCCGCCGGTACGTCAACAGTGCGATAGCCAAGTATCGCACTGTTGGGTCCCGATGGTGTCCCATCACAAATTCGTGCTGTCGACAGATCATGTCCCTTGGTCGACTGCACCCGCCTTTGGACGGTTCTCCGACATGCTTAGATGAGTCTTTTTTTGTCTTTTTGGCTCGCCTGGTCTTCACCAGTGCGAACATATTCTTGCTCGTAGGAGTCGCTCGTCTTTTGTCCGAGCAAACGTGCGCCCGATCGCCCCATTAAGCACGTGCGAAGGGTATCCGAGTGCCGTAAACTCCCTGAGCTTGCTCGTCACGCTGAGCGCGAATCCCTCGTCATCGCTCGCCATCGCGACCACCTTGAGCAGGCATCCAACCACGATGCCCGCCTTCATTTTAGCGCATGTGAAGCTATCCCCACGATGGTAGCGCCACACTCGCG